CCGTCACCCCCCCTCATCATCACACACCCCCCCACCTTGATGACCTGCTGCCGCTCCTCCTTGCGCCCGTCAGGGTACACCCGCAGCAGCGACACCACCTCCGTGCCCACCCCGTCGGCCTCCAGCCGGCCCGCCAGCCCGTGGCGCTCCAGCAGGCGGCGGCCGCGGGCGTCGATGTTGTAGACATAGCTCTTGTCCGTGTCCACCTGGGGGGGCGGGCAGCACGGTCGTCACTGCGCTGCATGGTGATGGCTCTCACTGCAGCTGTGGTGACAACAGTCGAAAGGCAATTGTGGAAACTCTGCTCAAAAGGCGATGACTTGTGTGCGTGAGACATGCGTTCCGACGTCTTGAGCGGGTCATGAGCGACACGCGATCAGGGTTGAAGGTCGCCGCGCCTGCCGCGCCATGCGTGCAGGCGCGCCGCGCGTCCGCCCACCTGCAGCACGCTGGCGCGGCGCTCCAGCACGATGACGTCAGACCAGCCGCGCGACGAGAGCTGCAGCGCGGCCGCCAGCCCCGCGGGGCCACCGCCCACGATCAGGGCGCTGCACTCGGCAGGCAGCGGCGCGTCGGGCGGCGGCGCCGCGGCGGGCGCCGGGGCGGCAGCTGGGGCGGGGGATGCCTCGCCCACGGGTGCGCCTGGACCGGCCTCTGCTGCCGCGGCTACGCGCCTGCTGGTGCTGCCGCCGCGCATCCAGGATGCAGGCCGCATGGTTTGTGCGGGGCAGTCAATGAGGCCCCGATCGCTGCTGCCCAAAAACGGCGCAGGCCGCGTGTGGCAGGAGCGGGATGGCAACGCGCCACGGTGTGGCGCCCCGCGCCCCGCACAACAAGGGATCAGGGCCGGAGACGCAAACGTTCTAGGGTATCCTGAAGACTTCAGGTGACCAGGGCGTGCGCCAAGAACGGACCGCGTTTGCGGATGCATTTCACCCGAGATCACCGACGACAGGGGAAATCGATAAAGTCAAACAACGACCACGGCTATACTTTGTACACTTTTTTGATGGCACATTGGTGCTGGCGCCCAGCAGGCGTCACCGGGTTAGTCAGTGACAGTGAGAGTTGTCAGAGTCCTGTAACATACAGCAGACTGTGCGGCAAAATTACACACCGCTTTTATTGTTGCATAGGCGGGCCGCAATACCAGCTCTATTGGCTGGGTGTGCTGTCACAGCTCCGCCATGGGTCAACCTCTGCACACAGATGGTGTAACCTGCGTTTGACCGCCGCCGGCCGGCCGGCAAGGTGGGTACTGGCGCTCCTGCGAACAAGAGCGGCTCAGGTGTGTCCGCCTTCGAGTCGCAGCCACGCGGAGGGTATGGCGAGACTGGCGAAGACATCGGCTAGCAGGTGGATCGCACCCACCACTGACAAGCTTACATCAGCAATATCAGCAGCCATCAAGATCATCAGAACAGCCTTCTCAACAGGCGCAGTACCCCCAGGCGCCGAAGCAACACGCGCCAGCTCCATCGCCGCTTGGTGGCGCGCGGGCGCCCCAGCCTGCCAGAGGCATTTCGCTGAATTGCGTTGGCAGAGACAGCTGCCAGGGAACATGGGAGTTTGATTTTTGGCCGTCAAATTGCCCTTCGAATTTCAGTATGCTTTCTTTGATACAAAGTCTAATCACATGAGGTTGTTTGGCTCCAGAAGCAGGTACGACAATCAAGATTTCCAGCAACTAGGAGCAGCCATCACCTTAACCCCAACCCTGCCCCTGACCTTGCTCTCTCACTCAAGATGAACCGCTACTCGCTGGTATGCCTTCTCACTCGCACAAGGTTTTCACATTGAATTCACCCACAGAAAACGAGAAGGAGAACTGAGAAGCTGCGCGCACGGTTTTTGGACATGTCGGCATCATCCTGTTTTGGGCGGCACTTTTCGGTCGTGGTGTAGGTCGCTGAGCGAGGTCGTCGGTGGGCATGCTGTGTGCGCCACGAGCCGCAGTGTCCGGCCTCGTGCGCAGTCTGCTCTGAGTTTGGCATAGTGGAGCGTTCCCCTGCGGTGGCGTGCAGCAAGCTTGCCGCGCAGGCACGCCTTGCCTTGCATCGACCAGTCCGCAGCTGCCGCGGGATATGTGCTGGAGGGAGCAGCAGCAAAGGCCGTCGCTCGAGCACGAACAATCGCAGGCTGTTATTGCGTTCCAGGGCAAAATCAGGCGCATGACGTGGCACTGATCGCGAGTGCTGTGTCGCCTCGTGCGTGCGACCAGCGCGCAGCGAGAACCGGACTGGGCGAAGCGGCGTGCACTTTTCGTTTCGGTGGGCACGCCAACCACGTCCCTGTGGCGTTCACGGGAACCAGCATCCATGGGCTCAAATCGCCGCTTCCTTGCACCCACACCCTGCGTTTGCTGCCCGCAGTCGCCCGGGGATGGTCTAGGCGGGGTGTGCGCGAGGCAGGGTGGTACGAATCATCTTGTGCAGGGGCGCACGACCCAGTGGCCACCAGCTCAACTGTGGCAGCAATAAGCATTATTGGTATACGTGGGGTTAAATCCAGCTGGGGCCCAATCAGGCGCGGGCTAGAGCCAGTCGGACAGGGTTGCTGGGCCTCGGCAGCTGCCCCGTCCCGGTCATCATGAGCAGGCAGCGTCCAAGGCTTCATCATAAAGCTTGGACTGCCACGTAACACTACCAAAGCCTTGCCACCCCTCAGAACCACCACACGCACGTTTCCGCATCATCTGTCTCGCGTGAGCACCGGCACAAGCCACAAGGACCCGGCAACCTACCACATCACCTTTAGCAGGCGGGATGCAATCCCGTGGAGCATTCCTTGGCGCCAGCAGCGGTCCCTGTGCGGCACTCGAGGCGTGCTCCATGCATACGCCCCCGCACCACCTTGCAGACACAGCGCCGCTCGCCGATAAGTGGCGCGGCCTCTTGGCGGCTGCCAAGGCGGCAGGCAGCACTGTGGGAAATGCTAGCACAGGCAGCATGGACCAGGTGGCATCTTCTGGGCCCCTGGGCTCACCATACGGCGCGACGCGCCAAAACGCCCTGCTGCTCGGCGGCTTTGGGCCCGTCGGTGACGCCGGTGCGTCGTACCTGCCCGCCGGCGTTCAGCCGCCCCCGCCGCCCCCGGCCCCGCTTTGTGGCCCTGTGTGCACCTGGCAGCCCCCGACCGCGCTCGCTTGGGCCGGAGCGGTTGCCCAACCCCCGTTCACAGGATGCTTATGAGCTCGTTGGTGGGTCCGCACACCCGGACGGCTCTTTGGCGGCACGCGCACTCCATGCGCTCACGCGCCCGCTCCCGCCCCCGCCTTGCCCCCTCCTCTGCTTCTCCGCTAGGCGTGTCGACCTCGCAGCCCCTAAACAGCCCCACCTTCGAGGCCGCCTCAGAGAGCTCCGGGTCCTTTGCCTTCCTGCCCGGCACCTTTGGCCACAGCGCGCACGCCGCCGCGGCAGCCGCCGCCCACGCGGCGCACAACCAGCACGCGTTCCAGTCGGTGTCGCCCCCCGCCGCGACGCAGCACAACGGCCTGGCGCCGACGCACGAGGATCTGGCGCTGTCGGGCACGAGCTACTCGGCGCTCGACGGCATCGTGTCGGGCAACGGCGGCGGTGGCGGCGGCTTCGCGACCGCGCCCGCGGCGTTCACGGCCGCGGCGGCGCTGCTGGACAACGGCGTCGAGACGCTGTACCCCAGTGAGCGCCCCACTGGTCGGGATCTGGGGTGGGATGGGTGACGGCCGACGGCAGTCCGCCTGCCCGCCCTGCGCTTTCAACGCTGGTGTCGCATGGATGGTTATGCCCGGTGCCTGATCATCGCCGTGTAATCCCAGCGTGCGCGTCCCCCTCGTCACCCTTTCGCATATTCACCTACCCCTCACCTCGCCACCTCACCAGGCGAGCGGCTCGCCCTGGCGCGCATGGCAGCCGCCGCGCAGCAGCAGCAGCAGGTCCAGCAGCAGGTGCAGCAGCACATCCAGCAGCAGCAACAGCAGCAGCAGCAGCAGCACATGCTGCTCCAGCCCCTCAACAGCATCAACAGCGGCCCGTCCACCATCGGCGGGCCGGGCGCGAACAGTCACGACGAGTTGTACCACCACATGGGGGGTTTTTCCATGGACCAGCGCTCCAGCGGCGGGCTGCTCTCCCCGGCTGGCATGGCCGGCGCCGCCAAGGCCGGTGCTGCCGCCGCTGCTGCGGCCGCGGGTGGGCAGCAGGTGTTCATCCCGAAGTCGAGCAGCCTGTATGTGAAGAATCTGCCGGCGGACGCTGACAAGTGCTTCCTGTACGAGCGCTTTGGTGAGCTGGAGGGCCTTGCTGGGTGATGTGTGCGGTTTGCGCTGAGGCTCTTGCATGTGTCAGGTTGGTATTTTGGGGGGTTTGTTGCTTCACTGTTGCTTCACTGGGAAGGCTGCCCCCTTGGCACATCAGGCGCACCTGACCCCTTTCCCCTCGCCCCCGACCCGCGTCCCCTGTGCAGCACCCTACGGCGCCATTATGTCGGTCAAGGTGAGGGGTCATAGCTGCTGGCTTCCTGGGAGGGGTTTGTGCATGCTTTGCACCCAAGCTGTGTAGTGAGTGGAGGGATTCACATGCGTGTATTTGCCACACCCACTAAGCGGTTCAGAACGTCATGTCTTTCAACTGAGAAGTTTGCAATGCCTGTTTCCCCGTCGCGCCCAGGTGCTGTGTGACCCGGACACCAAGATCTGCCGCGGTGTTGGCTTTGTCAACTTTGCGGTCCATGACGACGCCGTCCGCGCCATGCAGGCCCTCCACGGCGCAAAGGTGCGTGCGTGCAGGCGGGGGTTAGGGCAGGGTGTTGCGCATGAGGATGGGCCACGGGTCAATGCACTGCTGAGGCTTGCCTCTGGGATCTGGGGACTAGGAGTTATGTCAACTTGAAATCTGTGGCCCATCATGCGCTCGACACACCACTCTGCCTGCGCTGCTGCATGGATTGGCGCGTGCAGTCACGCCAAGGCTAATCGTGCGCTGCTGTCCATGTGTGTGCCCTTGCATCCCAGGTTGGGGACAAGCTCATGCATGTGAGCCTGCAGACCCCGCGCATCCGCGCCGTTGTTTGAAGCGGACCGGCGGCCTGCTTGGCGGCGTCGCCTCGCGCCGCTGCGGAGTGAGCGCGTGGAGCGCGGGCTGTCGCCTGCGTCGGCGCAAGACTGAGGATGCTGGATTCGGTGTGCTGGTTTGGCTGGCGCTGAGGCGAGGTGGCGAAGTGCTGTCCGCCTGTCGCACGGCCCCCAGCGGCGCGAAGTCTTGCAGGTCCGGGCCCCCGCTGCGCGACGCCAGCAGATGCGGGCCTGCCGCGTTGGTCGAGACGTGCGTTCGTTGGGTGGGTGGCAGATGTGCGGAAGCGCAGCAACTGCCAGTGGCTGGGCATCTTGGTGACGCCCACACTGTGCAGTGGCAGGGGTTTGGGTTTGAACCAAAATCGGGTGGCTTTTGTTGGGGTTTCTACGCGAGGCAGCACTTTTCTCAACAGGATCCCACGCACGATTCGCACGCACACTCAAATACGCACTCAGTGCCTGGCCTCTCGACAGCACTGCTGTAGTCCGTTGGACCGTTGCCACTTTGCCACGGTGGACGGTGCGCAGGACGATCGCATGGCTCGTGCCCCTCAGAGCTAAGGCATTCATGCGCAGAGGATAGGGGTTTGGGGGGGGGGTGCACTGGCGCATTTGGAATGAGACGTTCTCTCTCCCAACACCGCAGCTGTGTACCTCTGCACTCTTTCGCTAATTCTCGCGGCCAACCAGCCGCATTCCATCAACACGCCTCCTTTCGACGCAACGCGGTGTCAGCCCCTGCCGCTGGGGTGGCATTGCTGCTTTTCACCCGCCGCCGACCTCCCTCGCACCCGCCATTCGTTCCGAGCAGCGTCAAGCGTGCGGGAGGTATTTGCTGTCCGAATGCCTGGCCATGCTGCTGCGTTTGCTCCTGTGACGCTGCATTTACGGCCCTCCCTGCTTTTAGCCCTGGCCAGCCAAGGCAATGGGCTGTTGGCGCACAAGCCTCAGGGTTCTTTGCCGTGTAGCCCGCTCACGGCGATGCGTCGCAGCGAATGCGATTGCTGCGTGCGCATCTACCTGGCCACACAAAGGCTTGAGCATGCACCTCGCCTGCAAGTGAAGTTAGGGATGATATAGGCTCTGCTGTGTCAGGGCCTGCACGGGAGGTGAGGTGATGTCCAGCGCTGCACTTTGCGCGCAGGCACGATCGGAATTTAAGGAGTGAGCTGCACAGAGGCTGGTGCAGAACGTGCAAGTGGCCTTTCTGGGGCCAATACACGTGCTTTCTCTGCGCGACTCGGATCACGCAGCAGCGCTTGGCGTACGCCACGTGGTTCTGTTGCGTCGCGCATCTTACCACCGCCTAGTAGTGGTGCCATGGCGGCACCGCAACTACTTACCGCGGTCATGGTCATCAGCCATGGACATGCCTTCCCACCTACTTTTGCAATGTTTCCTGGCCTGAACCCGTGCCCTGTCCCGTTCACAGTCAACACTTTGCCGATATCCGGCATCGCGGCAGGCGGGACTCGCGCACCGGCAAGTGATTGTGCTTGCCTTTGATCTTTTGTGCGCGCTACCTGGCCAACTGCCACGAGGGGGCCCACACACACCCTTTTGTCGGTCCTGCGATGGCCGCCCAGGCACGATCAGGCGGCTGCAGCCGTGGCCCTCACAACACAGTACACCTTACACCACAAACTTATACCCTTGTGCATGGGGTTGCAGGTGGTTCCGCAGCATTCGCCCTTCCGCTGTACATTAATGCGTATCGTAATTTCTGGTTATGGGAGAAAGGATATGTGCGCGCACACAGTTACGCACGCCTGCAACACTGTTCTGCCCCCTCGGACAGGCGTCTGCTGCCATCGCTGCTGCTGCCGCAGGCGTTGCGGCTGCTGCTGCTGCGCGGTAGATGTTTGCGCACTTTTACAAACGCAGTAGCATCTACCTGTCACACGGGTGTTGCCTCACGTCACCGCCGTCGCCCTGCTGACTCAGCTGTGGTGGGCGGGGGGCTTCCCCTTTTGTCGGCTCATGCTATTCTAATTGCGGTCTTGAACATGGAGTTGATACATGCACTTGAAGCAGGCAGTTGTTCAGAACATTAATCTTGTAAATTGCAACTGGCCGTGTGGAGATGTTGGGGAGTGTTGAGGCAAGCAGCATATGCAGTTTGTGGCCAGTACCAGCCCGTTATGTCCTCGCTACAAGGGCTGCAACGTCGATCAGGGCTTTTTTGCAATGTGCTATATCTAACGAGGATTGCATGCGCATAGAGCATCAGAGTGTGCATAGGAACTTGCTGACCAGCTATCAAGCCGGCACGCCCCCACACCGCGCATATGTATTTCCATCCCAGCGCCATTATCGATCATGACAGACGAGCAAGACGCAAGAGCTTTCACTTTGATTCACAGGTATAGAAGCAGCAGTATCATGGAACTGCCCAGCAGGCAATGCTGCAGCTGTTGTCCCAGCTTAAAATTGCCGATGACCATCATGTTGTCTCTATGTTGTTGGCTGCGCTGAGCAGAAAGTACGGTAAGCACAGTCTTCGTTGCCATCAATCGAGTTGGAGCAGCGGGTTGACCACCCGCACCCAGAGCACGTGGCTGCGCTGCCGACCGTGCCCCAAGCGGCAGCGTTGCTCCACGAGCGCGATCAGAACAGAACCTCCACTGAATGCATACGCAACCTGTGTGCAGTGTCGGTGCTACTTGCTCACGGGCGACGGGAATGATCAGAGGACCCTGGGAGGCAGATCAAGGCGACTCCCTTTGAAATCAAAGCAGCACATCATTTGCATCTATATCTACTTACGTACACCCCCAGCGCTGTCTTCGGCGCGGCCTTTGATACCGACCAAATCGAGGCAGCTGCGCACACTTGCACCGCGACAGGTCGATCAGGGATGTCTTATCCCACGGGTGGTCCCGGCTGGGGCGACTCCCACCTCGCCAACCAGATGTCGGGCATGGCCCTCGGCGGAGGCGCGCCTGTGCCTCCCGCCTCGGCGTACCCCGCGGCAGCTAGCTACCCGCCCAGCAACGGCAGCGGCGCAGGAGCACCCGGTGCGCAGCCCGTTGTGGTTGTGGGGTACGAGGGGACGCACGGCGCCAGCCAGTATGGGGGCCCGCCTTGGGCGAGTAGTGAGAGGCCGGGACGAAAGATGCCCCTGTCCTAGTGACCATGCATGAGCTCATGCTCGTGTGCGTTGCAGCCACCGCGTCCCCCTGCAATGCCCTGGAGAGCCCATGCGAGCCAGATTGGCGGGCAGTACACGCAGAACCAGCCCTCCTTCCACGCCTCGCTCACCACCGCCGCCGTCACTCCCGAACCCGTGCAAGAAGGCGGCGGCGCATACCCACCCCCCCCAAGCGGGTTCTACCCCCCTGCCGGCGGCGGCGCACCCTCCTACCCCCCGACATACGGCGGCGCATACCCCTCGATTCTGGGGCCGGACCAGACGCAGCAGACCGCGGCCCACCCGCCGCCGCCCAACGCCCAGCCTGCTGCCGCGTCGCCGCCTGCCGCGGGGGGCTGGCGGCTGCGGGCGCCGCTGCCGCAGAAGCCCGAAAAGCAGCTCATCGGTGGGTCGGCGAGGGGTCCCGTGTGCTAGGGCGCCAGCTGGCCGCGTTGCAGGGACCCTGAGGCCCGATTTGACCATCAGGGGTCAACTCGCCCCCATGCAAGAGCGTCCCTTGCGGTGGCCCTTCCCACAGTTTACCCGCATGCGCTTCCAAGTCACGCGCATGTGTCACCCATTTAACCCAGCCCCGCTAACCGCCGGCCGTCCGCCCGCCGTCCGCCCGCCGCCTGCGCCAGGCCCCTTCCTGCGCTTCAACGACTACGACCCGGCCACCGGCGTTTACGAAGCGTCCGTCCTGGTGGTGACACACCCTGACGTCACCGGCCAAGTCCAGGTCAGCGCCCGACTCCCGGCCGCGCGACCGCGCGCCCGCTCAGCCCCCGCCCCTGCCTGCC